GGAACTGCAGGCTAGAAGGTGCCCAGCGTGGGCAAGCCTCCCAGCTTAACCTCTGTCTCCTCGGTGAGCCTTCTGCTGGGTTCACACAGTCTCCAGCAAGAAAGGTCCCTGCTGCAAAATGCCGGTGCCGGGGACGTGCTCCCCTGCACGCCTGTTTACATTTTTTAAAATTCTTTTTCTCTTTATTGTCCTATCTGTATGCTCTTCCACATTGTGCTTTAGAGTTCACTGATTCTCTCCATTATTTGCATTTGTGTTCTGTTGAGGTCCTCTATTTTATTTTATTTATTTAAATTTTATTTTTATATTCCCCATACAATTACAGCCCCCTTATTTTGACCCCAATCCCTCCTTTCCCCACCCCCCACCCTCCATAGAGTGTCTCTGGTTCATAGTTGTTTGTTGATTTTGATATTTTCTTTCTTATAGTTATTCTTTTCCTGGTCCCTTATTTAAGTTTTCTAGATTCCTGCTATGAGTGAGATGAGGTCCTCTATTTTAAATTTAATTACAGTGGTTTTTAGATCTGTTAGTTCTAGTTGTACCACTCTTGTATTTTCTCAATCTTTATTGTGTTCCTTTTTTACATCATCCATTGTTTTTCTTAACTCTACAACCATGGTAATAATTTTTACCTTAAACTCTTTTTCTGAGTTCTGCTGAATTGAGACTTTTCTCAGGGTTTTTTTTTCTTCACTCCACCATTTGGGATATGTTCTTTAGTCTGTTCATTTTTAGTTTTTATAGGAAGTTTCCTCTGTGGTAGTAAATTGGAAGTATACACTTTCTACAAGGAGTTGATAAAATCCATGTTTTCTTATCCAAGATCTGGGTGTCTGCTATAGACTGCTACATTTGTGCTGTTCAAATCACAGGGGCACTGGGTACTGGCAATACGACACTGAAAGGTCAGCTCTAGTGATGATCAAGTTTTCAAGCTTCCAACTTTGCTGCAGGTATCCAAGTTATATGGTGGGGATACACATCATCACTTCCCGTAGGCCAATCCTTGGCCTGAATGTTTCATATAGCATCATGACTGCATAAATTTACAGCCTGTATTTGAACACTAGAATTAGTGCTAGGTGAGGATTATTGTTGAGACAGTCACAAGCTGGGGATTGTTCTCTTTGCTTTTCTAGTATGAAGCCTTATTCTAGTACATGAGCTACTGTTATGAAGGTCCAGGTGTTTAGGATCTGGTTAGGAAAAGCATTCCTTTGTTGTCTTGATTTTGGCCCCCTTTCCGCCAGGCCATTTGTCCTGAAGTATGCAGTAGTCCTATCTGTTTATCTTTAATGGATATATTTTGCTGCTGCAATTTAGTTGTGATTATATGCAGCAGATGAGCCAAGATCTTTATTCTGCCACCATTTAACTTGACTCATTAAACTATATGCTTTAAATGGGTGAATTGTAAGGCTTATGAATTATACTTCAATAAGTATGTTAAAAATAACTGAGGACGGGAGTCAGGATACTTTCATGTAAAAGGCCATACTGTAAATATTTCACGCTTTTGCAGTCACATAAACTCTCTTTCACATATTTTTCTTTACTCTCATTTATAAACTTTTACAAATGTAAAAACTCTGCTTAAATCTCAGGTTGTACAAAAACAGGCATGGGCCTGGTTATGCCAGTTAGCAGTTTATTTATTTATTTATTAAATAGAGGCATGTTTTATTTATTTATTTGTTTGTTTGTTTGTTTGTTTGTTTTGTTTATACATGCACTGGGTACAGTCAGAAGCGCCGGAGGGTGAGAGAATTCACCAGAGCCAGAGCGGGGAGCAGAGCAGGCAGAAGGACCGAAGTACACTGCTGAGGGGAGCAGCGGGCGGCAGGAGAGGTCTGCGCACCATGTGGGACCCTCCTCCAGTGGCCGGGGAGCAGCCGGGGATCAAACCGGCACCGCAGAGGTCGCGGGCAGCTTCGCAACCTAGCGCTCAACCGCTGAGCCATTGGGGAGGCCCAGTTAGCAGTATTTTATCTATTCTTGTTCTAAGAAAAATATGTTGTTCCTTGATAAATGATAATTACTCTATATATTTCTAAAGTACTCCCTCGCCCCCCTGGCTCATACTCAGGAGAATAGGGACAATATTGATAGGACTATACAGTCTATCTATATTCCATCATCATTTATTTATTTGGAAATCTTCTATTTTATGAGGATTTAGAGAACAAAGAACAAGTGAATATTATAAAATTCAACCAACAAATCTTCATTAAAGAGACAGAGCACCACAGTCTAATTCACAAGGACCACATTTAGATGATGAAGGAAATGCAACTTCAATGATCTAAACAGATACCCTTTCAAAAGTGAAGAAGTGTATAAAAGTATTACTAGGTTAGAGAGTTCTTAGGAAACAAGAGAGTGTACAAGAGAAAGAACACAAAATAAAGAAGTTTTAAGGGAAAAAATTAAGGATTATGTTTAATGCAAGTACAAACCTTTGAAATCCAGATGCTGCTGGAATGAAGGAAAGGATTCTTTAAGGGAAAAAAAAGAACTGCATCAGGGAAAGCAAACTTAAGAGTTAAAACCATAACAAGGCATCATCTCACATCTATGAGAATGGTAGATACTAAAAGGACCCTAACAAGAAGTGCTGAAGAAAGAGGGACCATACTACACTGATGGTAGGAATATAAAATGCTGTAGCCATTTTGAAGAATGATGAGCATTTATCTTAAAAAATTAAAAATGGTTATACCGTACAACCCAGCAATCACACTCCTGGGCATCTATCCAAAGAACATGAAAGTATCAACTCAAAAATATTTTAAAAACTATGTTTATTGAAGCACAGTTTACAATAGCTGGGGCGTGGAAGCAACCTAAATGTCCATAACTGAAGATGGAATCAAGAAGATATGGCATATCCACACAATGGAATACTATTTAGTCATAAGGGAAGACAAAATGCTATTGCTAACACAATGGAAGGAGTTCAAGGGAACCACGTGCAGTAAAGCAAGTCAAAATGACAAAGACAAATATTGGGCATTTACAGAGTGAATGATTAGACAAAGTAAAATGCCTATAAAACTAGCAGACATTAATAAACAAAATGAACTTCCTGAGGTTAAGAGGGTAGGTGGAATGAAGGAGAAAAGGTCAAGGGACATACGGGATAGCGGGTTAGTGAAATTTCTCTCACATCAATTTGATTTCTATTCACTGAAATACAAAATTTAACAAAGTTAGTACCACCAATCTAAAAGAAGAAAAAACATTTACGAAATTAAAAGCACTATGCAAAAATAAAATGTTATTACCATTTTTCAGTTAAGCAAAAGACCCTAATAAGCATAAAATTAACTTTACCCTTGTTTTTTTTTTTAAGATTTATTTATTTTATTTATACAAGAACCAGGGTATAGGCCAGATTCGCAGGAGGGTGAGAGGATTCACCAGAGACAGAGCGGGGAACAGAACAGGCAGACTGATGAAGTATCCTGCTGAGGGGAGCAGCAGGTGAGACAGGAAAGGTCTGCAGTGCCATATGTGACCCTCAATGGCCGGCTGGGATCGAACTGGCCCTGCAGAGACTGTGGACAGCTTCACAGCCTGGCACTCAACCGCCTGCGCCACCAGGGGAGGCCCTTTACCCTTATTTGTTTTTTTTTTTTTTTCATCTCAGTAATCTCTATTTATTTTTTTTTTAAATATTAAATTTTATTTTTATATTCCCCCATACAATTGCAAACGCCCCATTCTGACCCCAATCCTTCCCCTCCCGCCCCCCACCCCCCAAAAAGTGTCTCTGGTTCATAGTTTTTTGTTGATTTTGATTTTCACTTTCTTATATTCATTTTCCGATCATGCTCAGCGAAATAAGCCAAAAAGAAAAAGAAAAATACCGGATGGTCTCACTCATAGCAGGAATCTAGAAAACTTAAATAAGGGACCTTTACCCTTATTTGTTAAGCAAAATCATTGCTTTTGGTTTTGCTCAGGGACACATAGATTTTTTTTTTCCTCTTCTTTTGCAATGGAAATATTTCTAAAATGAGGCCTCTTTACTCCTAAAGAACAAGATTTTATCTTTTTTATAAACAGTACCTTGCAGCGTGCATGCTACTCAAATGTGTTTCAAGTTGAACTTAAAAAGAAAGGAGAAAAGAAGGGAAATATATTGATAAAGATCTGCTAAGAGTTTGTTCCAGATCTCAAGAATAATATGAAAGTAGAGACTAAGAGAAGGAAGAGAATACACAGCAAGAAGAATTTTATGCCAATTGGAAAAAAAAGAAGTTGACAAGTCTGGAAAATTAGAAAGGTTTCTTTGTCCAGCTAAGAGGGGAGAAAGCAGAGATCTAGATCTTAAAAATCATACCAAAACTGCTAGTGGTATAACTGGGAAACAATTTTCTTTGCTTGAAAGATAGAAGGTAAAGAGCTAAAGACAATAAAGGGATATGGGAGACTGAAATATTCATATTCATATTCATATTAATTCAGGCAAAGGTAGGAATTTTGTCTTGTTAGAGAAAATGATGAAATATTTAAGGATGTGGGCCAAAAAAAAAAAAACACCACAACAACAACAACCCAGTGCAGTGAAGAAAAGCCAAGTAAATAATTTCATATGGTTATCAAAGCTGTAGAAGTAGATAAGTTTTTCCTTAGAGCATGTGTTAAAGGAAATAAAAATAGAGAAAACTCCTATGGACCATATATGATCATAGGAAGATGATGAATATAAAGAATATTTAAAAACAGATTTGGAAAGAGTGGTTAAAGAACATTTAAAAACAGATTCAGAAAGGATTTTCAAAAGAAGATATATTCAATCACATTGAAGAGGACAAGACAAAGGTCACCTTTCCTTAGGAAGAAATTTGTCAATACAAACCTTTGAAATCAAGATGCTGTTGGAATGAAGGAAAGGGTTCTCAAAGGAGAATCAAAAAGAACTGCATCAGGGAAAGCAAACATACCAAATAGCACACTGAACTCTAGCCTTTTCTTTGAAGGTTGCACATTACCTGCTCAATAGTTGTTGAAGCTTTTTTCCCTTGCTCTAGATCAACTGCAGCTGCCATAAGTAAACATGTTTTCTGTGTAATCAGAATTACTTGATCAGAAGGACAAAACTGGGACAGCTGATAAGAAATAACCAGAACATCAATGAATAGTGAGAATTCTACCAGGTGAACACAGGCAAGAAGAATGAAAATCAGCAACATTCTGTCTGAATGAGAAAATTCAGCTGGGAAAGCACAGCACACCTTAAAAATGATATGGACTCTACCATTCATTTATAATTGTGATTTTATATCACTTACCATTGTTTTTAAAGCACTTTCTCAGAGATAGAGAGCCTTATTTCTTCACAATTTTCCTATTTTTGCCAGTGACAAGTACTGTCATTTGGCCCTGTATTTCTATCTAGTGATTTACTTCTTGGTTTATGTTATTATTTCGAAGTGATTTTTCCCCTTGCAAATCGATTTCCCCTTTGTATTGAAAAGAGCTGAAATTAGTACGTATATTGTCATAGTATAAAAAGTCTATCATTTCTTGAGAGGCAATAGGCATAACTTCATCTGATTGAGCCATATCCTCTAGCTTTAAAAAAGAACTCCCAACTTTCTACTATAATAAAACTGTAGGCCACTTGGGGTTCTCACATGTAATCTTACTGGTGCTATCACAAATTTCACAACTAAAGGGCCTCCCTGGTGGCGCAAGGGGTTAAGATGCAGCCTGTGAGGCTGTCCGCAGCTTCTGCAGCATAAATTCAATCCCCCCAGCCTGCCGGCAAGCAACCCACATGGTGCAGCAGACCTCTCTTGACTAGCCCACTGCTCCCCTCAGAAGTGTACTTTGGTCAATCTACCTGTTCTGTTCCCCAATCTGTCTCTGGTGAATCCTCTCACCCCTCCCATACCTCTGGCCTGTACCCCAGCTCTCATATTCATAAAAAAATAAATCTTTAAAAAAGGGAAAAAATTTTCACAACTCAAATGTATTTTATCTAATTAAAGTGGCAATTGTACCCAAACTTACAAAGACTATCTCTTAATCTCCAAAATGTTTAGTGATCATGATCATTATCATCATTGAATTAACAGCATTTCAATACAAGCACAAGCTCTCTATGTTCTCAAGTTACTCATGTATCAGATGAGGGAGTTATGCTAGATTATCTCTTCAGTTCTTTCCAGCTCTAACATTGTTAACATTTAATCTATCTCAATATATCATACTGTGCAGTCCTGAATGGGTATGAGCAATATTCTTTTTTTTTTTTAAAGATTTATTTATTCATGCATACAAGAACTGGGGTATAGGCCAGAGGCATGGGAGGGTGAGAGGATTCACCAGAGACAGAGCAGAGAACAGAAAAGGCAGACTGACTGAAATAAACTGCTGTGGGGAGCAGCTGGCAAGACAGGAAAGGTTTGCTGAGCCATTTGGGATTCTCGCCAGCTGGCTGGGATCGAACCCGCGCTGTAGAGGCTGCGGGCAGCTACACGGTGCTGTGCTCAATCGCCTGCGCCACCAGGGGAGGCCCTGGGTATGAGCAATATTCTTTTTTTTTAATTTAAATTTTATTTCTATATTCCCCATACAATTACAACCCCCTTATTTTGACCCCACCCCTCCTTTCCTCGCCCCCCACCCCCCATAGAGTGTCTCTGGTTCATAGTTGTTTGTTGATTTTGATATTTTCTTTCTTATAGTTATTCTTTTTCCTAGTCCCTTATTTAAGTTTTCTAGATTCCTGCTATGAGTGAGACCATCCGGTATTTTATGAGCAATATTCTTAACCCCCATCTTTTAAGTACCTTATCAATATTTGATCCTCTTTCTGGCATTAATGACTACTACCATTCGCAGCAACATGGATGGAGCTAGAAGGAATTATGCTCAGTGAAATAAGCCAGAAGGAAAAAAAAAATATCGGATGATTTCATTAATAGCAGGAATATAGGGGACCCAAATAAGACATCAGTATAAAAAAAATATAGTAACAGTACAAAACACAACAAAGCAAAAATGGACGATTATAAATCAGAGACATGCTGCAGGGGAGGAGGAGGAGAGGGATCAGAGGGAGGGAGGGAGGAGCACAGGGGACTGAGGTGATGGTGCACGGGTGCCTTGGGCAAGGAAATTCTATGGGGACTACACCTGAAGGGGTGGGGGGGAAGCAAATATTGTTTAAAAATGAACAATGATGTAAAAAAAATTAAAAAATAAAAAATAAAATAAATAAAATGCTTATAATTGAAAATAAGCTCACAAATCCTTAAACACAGAACCTGCTGTGGGAAAAACTATAAAAACAGCCAAAGCATCATTTTCATCCCGTTGTTCCCAGATACCTGTTCTATATTCTTACAGACCTATATTTACCACCCTTCTTAATGTTTTAGTAATTGACAACTTCCTTTATTATTCTCCTCTTAAAAATAATATTTTAATATAGGACTCTGGGAGACTGGAATTCTTTCGAAGGCAAAGGAATAAGTTTCTTAGAATAGAACTTCAGGTTCCATAATAGTTGTTTGTGATATTTTGGTACAAGAAGATTCTCTATGTTCTCACATTATACTCTAAGGGAATCAAATTATCCTTAGGTCATTCCTGCCTAGACATATAGTAAAAGTTCCTAGAACAAAAGTCAATCTCACTCAATATATAGCCCTTGATTATAGCCACAGTGGTCATATCTTTGTTGTGATACATGTTATGAGATACTTATTACAAGACATTTACCTTATAAGAAAGTATGAAAAACTCTCTCATTGTCACTGGGTCTTTGTCACATTGCACAGCCAAGTTCCAAGCTGAAAGTTAACATGAAATAAGAGAATTATGAAAATCTAAGATTTACTTTGCATCATTTTAATCTCTTCTACCTACATTTTTAATATTATTGTACTCAATAAGAGGCTTCTTTGGGGTTAAAAAAGCTAACTTTAGGTTACTGAAGACATTTCTGCAGGTAAATTTAGAGACTTCTATCACCTTCATTGGAATGACCAATGGAGGTAGAGCTGAAATTTTTTTAAATTTTGGAACATAAAATTCTTAGTTGGTACAAACCCATCTAAGAATGAGGGACACCAAGGAGCTTGCCAACTGGAATTGGTGAAAGGAAGTTTAAATTCAGCAAAGAACAGGGTACACTAAAATTTAGGTTGAAGTAAATTACTGAAGATTCACATTGTCCATAGAGCAGTGGAAGCCTTCATTAAACAACATTCAGTATGAGCTCCATCTTGAAAAATAAAAATTAAAATTCAGTAGTAGTACTGGAAAATATCTTTTCAAACTCAAAAGATCAAAGGCATTAAACCTTTCTATACTTTCAATGTTTTTTTTTAAATTTTCCATTATTTGCCTAAGTTTCTTAGAGGTCAGATTGTTGTATTTACTCCCTTTTCTTCTTTATTAGCGTCCCAGTAAATCCTACAAAGCAGAAGAGGTTCTATGTAGAACCAGTCCTCTTTGTGACATTGCTGCTCAATTGCTCTTGTTTATTACTGTAATAACTGTCTCCACAATTTAAAAATCATTTTTTACTTAAATAGAGACTGAATAAAATAAATTACACACTTCATAAGTGTACAGCTTGATGAATTTTCACAAAGTGACTATATCCATGCAGTCAATTCAGATAAAGAAAGATCTTTATCATTATCAGAAACATGGAAGCAAGTTCATTAACCCTTTTTAAGTCCAACCCCCTACATGGGTAACAACTATCCTGAGCTCTAACACCATAAATTAATTATGCTCTTCCCCCCCATGTACAAATGGAACGATGCAGTATATACTCAATATATGCTTCTTTTGCTACCATTATGTTTGTAAGATTCATGCATATTGTTACGTGTAGTTTATTTTTGATAAATCACATTTAGCGATAAATTGGGCATTCTAGACTAAGTTTAGAAGCATAACTTTAGGAACCTGTAGTTACAATTCATCATTTTATCCTTAGACCTATTATATATAAAAGAAAACTACTATTTACTTTGTACCCATAGTATGCCAATCACATACACTGTTTCATTTAAATCCTAACAGACCTATAAAGCATATTTCTTCCATGGTATAGTGAGTGCGAGATTAAGCAAATTATCCTTGTACCCAGAACTACAAATGAAAGAGCCTGAATTTATTTTTTCAGAGGTTTTATTTCTTTTAAAACAATATTTGCTTCCCCCCACCCACTCAGATTGAGTCCCCATAGAATTTCCTTGCCCAAGGCACCTGTGCACCATCACCACAGTCTGCTGTGCTCCTTCCTCCCTCCCTCTGATCCCTCTCCCTCCTCCTCCCCTGCAGTATGTCCCTGATTTATAATTGTCTGTTTTTGCTTTGTTGTGTTTTGTACTGTTATTATTTTTTTTACACTGATGTCTTATTTGGTTCCCCTATATTCCTGTTATAAATGAAACCATCCAATATTTTTCTTTTTCCTTCTGGCATATTGCACTGAGCATAATTTCTTCTAGCTCCATCCACATTGCTGCGAATGGCATGAGTTTATCTTTTTTGATTGATGACTAATATTCCACTGTGTATACATACCACATCTTCTTGATCCAGTCATCTATTTTTGGGTATTTGGGTTGTTTCCAGGTTTTAACTATTGTAAACAGTGCTACAATAAACATAGGTGTACAGGTGCTCTTTTGAATCAATGTTTTTGTGTCCTTTGGGTAGATTCCCTAGGAGTGGAATTGCCAGGTCATATGGTAGTCAATTTTTAGTAGACTGAGAAAACCTCTAGAGAGCTTTCCATAATGGTTGGACTAATTTGCATTCCCACCAGTAATGTAGGAGAGTTCCTTTTTCACTACATCCTTGCCAACATTGATTGTTGCTTGTTTTTTGATAGGTGCCATTCTTACTGGTGTAAGGTGGTAGCTCAGTGTGGTTTTAATTTGCATTTTCCTGATTATAAGGGATGTTGAGCAT